GTTAATTTTTAGTAGCTATCTTTTTTTTGTTTTTCTTATTTAGACTTGTCATAAATTCATATGACCTTTGTTGTTATTTTCACAAAGAATTTCTTAAACTGGTAAATTTGATGATTTGTTTTTAACTTAATTTATGTTTGTTTTTTTCTATTTATTTGGATGTAAAATTTCTAATTTTAGTTGAATGTTTATTTTATTTTCATTTTCCAAATTTAATAATGAAATGCTTAAAAGCTAAAAAGTTGCCTCTTTTAAATAACACTTTGTCCACACATACTTATTAAATTTTATATATACTAGTCTCATTCCTATTATTATCTAAATAGTTCATGGTAGTAACTTTTAATTTATTTGTTATTGGTCCATTAGCTGTTTTTATGTACTTTTTCTTTTCTTTTTTTAAAATTTTATTTAGTTATTTTTCAAGTACAGTTTTTTGTCTATTTCTCCCATCCCAGCCCCCCCGCCCCGTCTCCCCACCTCCCTCCCATCCCCCCCCCGCAGTCCTCATCCCTGTGTCTTTCATACTTTTTCTTTTAAAATTTTCATTAATTAGGATTTTGTTTGTTTAATCTCTGTTATTCCTTTTCAGGTTTTATTTTTTTGATGGGGTAAGGTAATATGCTTAAAAATTTATGCATTTTTGGAATCTGTATGAGGAAGACTTACCATGAGCAGTTAAATCATTGTGTTTTGCAATGTATTTCAGTTGAGAAAATAATAAAACCTTTTCTTTACTGACGGTATACAAATCTGTCATGTAAAACCAAAGTTCTTCTGGCTGAAGATGTGCATGCGTGTGTGTGCGTGTGTGGGGGTGGGGGATGGGGGTTGGGGGGTAGGGGGTGGAGGCTAGTGCCCCACCAAGCCTCTCCTCACCTTCCCCAAAGAGCACCATGTAATCTTTGGCATTACCTGGGTAAGATTTTAAAACCGTTGCTCATTTTTAAAGTGTTTTATATGCATCTATTAGATAAACTTACATTGTTATTATTAAAATATTTTTCCCCAAGTCAATCTGTTAAATACTGAGGATGGTATGGTCAGTCTCCACAACAAATGCCATTTCTCTGACCTCTTCTGGCACTAATAGAAACTTTTGCTTGGAATGTTTCAATTCTTTGGAGTTTGATGATTAAGGCAGCATCTTTTAGTGACATAAACTACTGACTTTGTTTCATTTTAAAGATTTCCCCTTGAATTCTGTTTTCTCTGAACCAATATTGCTACCATTAGTATTTGAGTTTGATATCTTCTGATTGTTTTTACTTTTATATTTAAAAAAATCTAATAGAATTATCTATCTGTTCTTACAGATGTAGGATAAATACACATATATGGACATAGTACATATATATAATATATGCACATTTTTGTATATAATGTGTATAACTAACTATAGCTTTGTAGTATATAAATTTTGTATTTTTTAACCCTATAAACATTTAAATACTAAACTTTTCTGGGTTTAAGTTTTTAGCTCAAGCTTTTCAATTTTTTTGGTATTTGTAAACACATCTTACTGGAATTAGTCTTTTTTTTCCTTTTATGATAAATCTAAGATAATATTTTTGAACTCTCAGTATTAAGGGTATTTTATTTTACTTAATTTTATAATTTTATAAAACTGTGATAGGTAGGAAAAAGGAACAGCAAAAAGAACACACTTTAAGAACAAGAGAAGATAGAGAACTTCTCCAGCCATCCACCTCTCCAGTTTCTTGAGTGAGTTTTCTGTCCCCTAACTCTAAAAGCTGTAACACGGGATTCATAACTGCTCGGGATCACAGCCTCACCCTGCTTGGGGCACGAGGCTGACTGAATTGTTATGTCATCGTGGCATAACAACGGTACGCCCGATTTCTCTGGTCATTCAACCTTCATGAGAAAAATCTGTGTTTTTAAATCTGTGGCCAGCCACTTCAAGTTAAATTCGGGTAGCCACCTGGGATTTTATTCAATTTTAAGCCAATTAAAAAAAAATTGCCCTAAATTAATTATATGTATTCCATTTTGCTTTTTCTCTAGATTCCAGTATTAGGCTTCTGGCTTAAAAATGCAAGATAAACAGTCACTTGGAATTTTTGGCACCAAAATCTGTTCAAAGGCTGTACCCTGGTGAGTTCCAATCTTTGGTCTCTCATTTACTCTTATTGATATGAGGATCAGTCAGAGCTAGAGTTCGCCCCAATTTTTAAGCATTTATTTTTATATCTCCTTCACAAACCAAATGGCTTATTAGATCAGATACTTTACTTGATTAATGATAAACATGAGCTTCTCAGGTTCTTTCACAGCACAGCAGCCGGGTCTTAAGCAAGGCTCTTCTGTGAGTGACCCCGGTTCCTCTGTTACAAAAATCCAAACAAATCTTTTAGTGACTTTTCGTGGCCTTTGGTTGGCACTGCCACATTTAGTTGATGAGACCTCAAAAATTTATAATGTAACAGAAAAACACACCTGTGTTATTCTGAGGCGGGGTGAGGTGGGGATGAGAGGCGCTGCAGGGGGGCTGTATGTGTCTGCATTACTACGCTTCCCGTTTTCCTGTTTCTCCTTCCCAGTCTCTCCAATACATTAAAGCGAGTTTGAATATTATTTAATCTTTATGTGATTATTTAGAAGAATCTTTAGAGATGGTGGATCACAGCTCTCTACCATATGTATACCTAAGTATTAAAAATTTATCGCTGGAGAAAAAAATAAGACTTTGCTATCATGAGGGTAGACTAGTGAACAGAAATGGATATAAAAGTTTAGACACTTTTATATTTAAAAATCACACACTACTTAATATTAATAATTAAATTATGAGTGGAATACAAAGCCAGGCACACAGAGAAATCTGCTGAAAAAAAAAACAGAAAAGATCTCTGTTGTTTTCTTTTATGGTTCCTCAATGTTTTGAGAAAAAGTTAGGGTCCCAAGTGAGTTTTTATGTCTATAAATTGTTTTCTCTTCCAAATTATACTTAAGTGAAAAAAGAAAATGAAGGAAAGCAATAATAAGCTTTGCTGGTAGGTCTTTTCCATTTTCATACATTCTAGGAGAGTAGGTAGTAAACAAAGTTTCTGCAACTGTAAGTGATGCTTAGAGGAAAATTAAATCACTGAGTGATGCCAGGGCTGATTATTCTACTGCACTTTAAAAGTAAGAGATTGCAGCCTGTGAGTCCAAAGTGGTTTCATATGGACTGCCACAGTTGTGGTTTACGCTTGAAACTATAACCTGTCAAATTAGAAGCAGGCAAGGCCTATGCTCTTAACGGTTCTACTTTCTACTGTCTACAGTTATGTCTACAAAGTCAGCACTTTTTATTCAGTTCAACTATGTTATTTGAAGGAGTAGAATCTCAAAACTAGTTTTTTAAAAATCTTGCTTAGAGAAAATTTTAATTATAATATAAAACTTAGATAAACCACCAATCTAATTTTTATTGTATATATACAGCTGACTTTCATTGCAACTATTTTTATCAACTACTGATATTTTATTATCCCAGTTAACACTAAGTAATATATAATACAACTACAGTGAAGGGGTATAACAACTGCTTAAGTTCCCAGGCTTTTTCTACCCTGTACTTCCAGATATTTTATTGACTTTAACTCATACCTTACTGACTCATCATTTTTCCAGGCTTACAGTAGCCTGCTATTAAGAGCTTAGTGTTACAACACGCTCCACTTCTTCTCTTCCCCTTGATTGTGGAGTGCCCTTCTAAATGTTTTCTCATCAAAATTGACGAGCTATGTGTTCAATTTTACTAATGTTTTATGTGGAGTCCTTCCTTAATGAATCGTTCTTCATGCCCATTTGTATAATATAAAAATGTTTTCAAAATAAAGCATAAACAATATTTGCTCTTTGTCATAAGTGAAACCATGCCACTAAACAATCATATCCTGTTTAGGCCACGATGACATCAGAAATATATGTTTATCATCTGCATCGGACAACTTAGCATGTTTTTGGCCCAAGGCAAAGTTGAACTAAAACCATTTGCAGTTGCCCCAAACCAAGATAACCGTGCGTTTCTGAAGTAACTGATACCTGAGAAGAACATTGCCTCTAGATCGCAGCTCATGATCTAAGCATACTGATTCTTTAAAGAAGGCTGTTAAAATTTATAAACCATGTATGCCTATTGGGCTTCTTCCAAAATTTAACATGAAATAATTATATTCTTAGCATGCATATAGAGACTATGATAAAGTAGGTACTTAGCGTGAACTTTCGGAGTTTTAAATTTACCCCTAAAAAGAGAAAACAGATTTTTCTTTTACATGTAAAAAGTATAATAACAAGAAGAATGATAATAATAATGCCTTTATTTTGGAAGGCACTCAAATGAAATCAATCATTACTTTTATTTTTCCAAAGTATTCAAGGAAACAATTTTATGAATAGAAAAGCTAAGGTAAATAGAAGGCATACGATTTTCATATTCATTGTTATAATATATCCAGGAAATCCAAACACATGTCACTAACTTTGAACTACAGTGATATAAAGCATGTAATTGCCCCAGATACTACCTTAGCTAGTGAGTATAACCATAGCCTGCAACTACAGACTGAAAAATAGTTCTTCATGCTATATGCCAACACAAATGCAGTTAGAATTACCTTTGCCCACAAAGCTAACTGGATCAGTTGGAACAAAACATAAAGAAATATTTACTCATGAATTAGCTTTAAGGAATAAAATAGTATCAGTAAAAGTACGATGTAGAAAAAAAGAAGGAACCTGAGGGAAGTCTACTGATATTCAAAGGAGGAAACAGAAAACTAAAGTCATCTCCCCATGTCAACTCCAAAGGCCGAGTTTAACACCCTCTCCTGGCTACTCCACTGTACGATGCTGCCTCCCGATATGAAACCACTGACTTGGGCATTTCAAACAACTTTTAGAGAACATACTAATAGAACCAAACAATACAGGCACTGCAAACTGCTATGGTTATTCTTTTACTATAAAAAGGGAAGAATGAACTATACCTCCATTCTTTCTTGTTTAACTTCATCAATTTCATCATCTTCGAACATTGCTAAGAGTTCTCCCGTCTGGTCAATAGAGTTGAGAAAGTCTTGAGCAATTTTTTGTCTTTTGTTTGCATTATTACTGCCACTCAACTTGTCTTCATGGAGATAAAGAAAAAAGAAATTTTTTAATGAGGTTACATCAGCACCAATCATTTCATGTATTAAATACTGAACATGAAATTCAGAAATAGAATTCTCTCAAAATAATTTTTAAAAGGAGAATCTTTGCATCTAAAATTAAAGTGTAACCAACTGGGTAGCTCAGTTGGTTAAGTGTCATCCTGATACACCAAGGTTACAGGTTTGATCCCTGGTCAGGGCACATATAAGAATCAACCAATGAATGCATAAATAAGTAGAACAATAAATTTATGTATGTCTCTCTCCTTTCCTCTTTTTTAAAAAAATCAATTAAAAAACGCAAAAAGGTCTTTCAGAATTAAATCAGTTATTAATTTCATAAGATTGAGAGAGTAAAATGTAAAACTAATTATCAATTACCACAGTGAGCATGATTGGTCTGATTAAAATTCCTTTCTAAAAAAAAAAAGAGGAAAGGTTCTTAGATTTGAAAAAAGAATCCTGCTATGGCAGGCCTAATTAGGAAAATAAAAACAAAGACATAAAAAAAATCAGAATTGAGACATGAAATTAAAAGGAGAGAACACTATGTGCATTGTTGCGGCACTACCTCTGAAATAGAAAGGGAAGAGCTCTTATCCTTTTTCTTTTAAGAGCTAAAACTATCACACTTATTTAAAAGCAAAACCTAACTATGAGAAAGTTACTGCAAAAGGTCAGGAAGGATTGTAACATTGCAATAGGTAATTAATACAGTTTAATGCATAAAAGTATCAGTGAGAGAATTAGAAAGAACTACATTATTTTTTAATGTAATAAAGATCTTTATACCAAATAAAGATAATCCAAACATCCTGGGGTGAAAGCATACATTTTTTACCATTAAGTATGATGTCAGCTGTGAGTTTCTCATAGATGGCTGTCATGGTCAATTTGGGCTGCTACAATAAATATGCCATAACCTGGGTGGCTAAAAACCCAAACACTTAATTCTCGTAGTTCTAGAGGCTGGGAAGTCCAAGATCAGATGTGGGTAGACCTGGTGTCTGATGAGGGCCTATTTCCTGGTTTGCAGATGGCAGTCTTCTCATATCCTCACATGGCAGAGAGCAGAGAGCGAATCAAGTAAGCTCTTTTGTGTCTCTTCTTAGAAAGGCACTAATTACATTTATGCAGACTTCTCTCTCATGACTTAATTACCCAAATCCAAGTCTTTCAGGAGAGGAACACTCAACAAACTAGGCAGAGAAGGAAACTTTCTCAACCTGAATGACCATCCCCCTCTAAAACTCCTATGTTGAAACCGAATTCCCAGTGTGATGGTATTGTGAAGTAAAGACTTCGGAAGGTAATTAAGTCATGAGGGAGGAGCCTTCATGAATGGAATTAGTGCTCTGCTAAAAAGAGACACAAGAGAGCTTTGGAAAAGGTGAAGGGATTGAGAAATACAGATGGGAAGTTGCAGTCATGTGATGTAAAGTACAGCATATGGAATATGTATGGAGCTGGTTGGGTACTGGAAATATCAGGGGGAACCCTTGGTACAGTATATGGTTATCTAACCACTTGGTTACCTGAGGCTAATACAAATAATACTGAATGTAAACTGTAATAGAAAAAACTGAAAAATAATGAAAAATTAAGGAAAAACAAAAGGCTTTTAGATTTTTTCCATATCATTTTTCTATGCTTAGTGAGATGATCATGTGATTTTTGCTCTTAATGCTACTAATATGATGAATTACACTAATTGTTTCATAAGTTTAAACCAATCTTCCACTTCTATGATAAATCCCACTTGGTCATGGTGTATAATACTTTTTAAATGTTGCTGGATTTCATTTACCAGTATTCTGTTGAGAATTCTATACACAAAAAGACATTAGTCGAAGTTTTTTTTTTCCTTGTGACATCTTCACTTGATTTCATATCAGGGTAACACTGACCTTTTAGAGTTTGAAAAGTATTAGTATTAATTGTTCTTTAAACATTTGGTAAAATTCATCAGTGAAATCATCTGGCCATGAGTTTTTCTTTGGGGGAAATTTGTTTTTTTAAGATTTTATTCTTTAATTTTAGAGAGAGGGGAAGGCAGGGAGAGAGGGAGAGAAACATTGATAAGAGAAACATACTGGCTGCCTCTTGCATGTGCCCCAACTGGGGACCAAACCCTCAACCCAGGCACGTGCCTGGACAGGGAGTCAAACCAGCACCTTTCCCTCTGCAGGATGACACAACCAACTGAGTCACGCTGGTCACGGTTCTCTGGGGGAAAGTTTTTAAATTATTAATTTAAACTCTTCATTTACCATAGATCTACATAGATTTGCTATTTCTTCTGCATGCAGTTTCAGTCTTTACAGGATAGAAAGTAAATACAGATTTGGTTATATTAACCATCTTATTTACCAATTCTGTTTCTTTCTATTTTTGGGTCACTCTTTACTCCAATATGGCTTTGTTACCATCCCCTTCACTTATGCTGTTAGTGTCAAAACATTGCATAGCTACATGTTATACACCCAACATTATAAACATAGACATTGTTTTGTATCATTGTTTTTGAATCGGTTAAGAGGAGAAAAATAAATATGGAATTCTTTTGTCCCATATAGACCTACATAATTATTTTTACAGGTGCTCTTTTCTTGTGTGTGGAGGTGTGGATTCAAATTGTTATCTGGTGCAACTTGCTTTCAGTTCAAAGAACTTCCCTTAGCAGTTTTTATATGAGCACTAGCAAAAAAATTCTCTCAGATGGGAGTAAAGGACAGAAAACTGTACTGAACAACAATTAAAACAAATTAAAATTTTTTCTCAATTTCTGTTTATCTGAAAATATCCTTATTGCTTCATGTTTCAGAGATAATTTTGCTGAATATGTTTCCTGGTTGACATTTTTTCTTTTAGTACTTTCAATATGTAATCCTACTACAATCTGACCAATATTGTTAAGGAGAAGTCAGCTGTTAAAAATATTGTTATGGCTCTATCTTTTGGATTTGGATAATTAAGTTGTATGTGATGAGTTGCTTTTCTCTCATGGTTTTCATGGTTTTCTCATTGTCTTTCAACATTTCTACTAGAAGGTGCCTAATTGTGGATATCTGTATCTACTTATCCTACTTGGACCTTATCGAACTGTTTGGATGTATTAATAGTTTTCATCAAAGTTAGGAAGTTTCCAATCATTATTTCTTTGTATATTTTTTTCTGCTGTTTTTTTCTCTTTCCCTACCTGCTGGTAGCCCCATTACTGCTTATGTTGGCTCACTTAGTGGTGTCTCATATTTCTCTGAAGCTCTTTTAGTTTTCCTTCATTCTGTTTTCTTTCTCCTTCAGATGGTATAATCTTTAACAATCTAACATCAAGTTCACTGATTTTTTTTCTTCTGTTAGTTTGAAGTTACTATTGAATCTCTACTGAATTTTTCATTTTGGTTATTGTACTTTTCAATTCCAGAACTTCCATTAGTTTCTTTTTACAATTTCTATCATTTAATGTATGTTCTGTACTTTGTGATACATTGTAATTATACCTCCTGCTGTTCTTTAAACATGGTTCCCTTTACTTCTTTGAACATATTTATAACAGGTACTTTGAAATTTTTGTCTCCTAAGTCTAACATTGGGGCCATTTGTGTTACCTGCCCCCCCTCCCACCCTTGCTCAGGAATCACATACCTGTGTCTCTGCATCTGTAGTACTCTGTTGTTGCTGCTCTTGAAAATGGACATTTTAGATAGCATACTGCAGCAACTTAGGTAATAATTCTATCCCTTTCCTGAGGCTTGTTGTCATTGTTTGTTTATTTATTTGTTTAGTGACTTGGCTGGACTAGTTCAATAAAATCTCCTTCCCTCACAGTGTGGAGCCTCAGAAGTTGCTCTTCAGAGGGCACAGCCTTGAGTATGGAAACAGTCTTCTCAGTTTCCAGTGATGACTGGTGTCAGTTTTTCTTTGACTGTCACTTTTCCTGATCTCTCCCATTAAGTTACTGGCTGGTTTGACTGTATTATCACATACAGCTGTTAGCTTCTACTGATTCTTGACTGACTTCTCACTCTATCGTTTTTCTTAATACTCTTGAGCATAAATTGCTCCAAAGAATGACCCAAATAACATTGGGCCTGTTTGCAGTCATGGGAATGCCAGCTTTTAAGTTTTGCTCCGACCCCAGGAGGACTCCTGTCCCTTTCCTTTGCTTCCTGTGTTAAACTTTTAGCTTCTGCACTGATCTTGCTTGCCGTAACTAGTGTCACAAAGCTCCCAGCTCCCTTTTAATTGTTCACCACCAGGATCTCCGCTATTTTGTTTTTTTTTAAAAACATGCTCTGTTCCAAAGAGTCCCCTTAGGGAAGGCTGCAGACCCATCTTAAGCCCTGCCTTTCCCTCTGGGCTGAACCTTTGATTAGTGTACTGAAGCTCAGGATAGAAACAGCAATCAGCTTCTCCTGGAAAGACTTTCCTGGTTTCAAGAAGGGAGTTGGTCAAGGATGGGAGCCCTTTGTCTTTTAGGCTTGTTCCTTCAGACTTCAGCCTTTACTCCCTATGAGAAAGCTAGGGTGAGGGCGACTGGGTGCAGTATTCTCAGCCAGCTATGTCTGGGGTAGAACTTTCCAATGAAAAGAGGGTGAGAGAAAGCTCCAGTGCATTTACTTATGCCTGCCTACAATAGAGTTTCTGCAATGTGGAGCCAGAGAAGATGAGAGATGCTGACTTCCCGCCCCTCCTGGGGTGAAACTGCTGCCCTAGACTGGGAGCTGGAAAAGGAGGTGCCCAGTGTTCTTGGTCACACACTGGCCCAGAGTAAAGCTCCCTTTATATACAGATGGGGTGACAGTGGTAGGAGGGGGGGCAAGGCATGATGGAAGAAGGTCGTGTCTCAAAAGCAAGAGATTCTCATTGTTCTTAATGAGATTTAGTGGATTTTCTTGAATATGTGTTTCTCCATTTGCTGTATGCCCTTAGGACAATGTCCTAAAACTTAAGCTATTATTTAAAACATTTCCACCAGGTAAATGTGTTTCACATGAGGAAGTGTCCACCGCACTCTTCACATGGCCACTCTACATGCTGCACTTCAATATTAGATGTATTTTACTTGAATAAGTAGTTTACCTTATAAATTCTATCAACTATTCAAAAATTTTATATGACACATAAAAGTAGAAAATTTAAATGAGATAAAGAGGAGAAATTTGAAATAAATAAGGAAGGGAGGACAGCAACTGATCTAATGATGTTAGTGCAACTGAATACTATCCTCGCCACTCTGAGCATCTTGGTGTTCCAAACACGGTATCAATGGCCACCGTTCACTCAGTGGCAGGACTGTATCGGGTGCTCTCCATACATGATGTTGAAATCTCATTATAATAACCACATGGAAAGTGGTCAAATTTCTGACTCATAAATGAGAAAACTGACCCTTGATTGAATTTCAAGTCTATTTCCTAAGTCTATATTCTTGGTGCTGTCCATAAAGAAGAGCATTTAAATTCATTGGAAGAACTGCTTTCCAGAAATTAAATTCTATGAGAATTTTAGGAATATCAAATAGGTAACAACGATTAAACATTTGATCAGAATTTTTTTTGGCATGGCTATTTTTTTTGGCACTTGCTGATTTGTTCAGGGTAAATGAAAGTAGTTGTCTTTCAAAGTCTATTAACTCTTCAGGTGGTTTTAAGTAGTTTTCTGGAATTCTTCTTAATCCAGTAGAGTTTGTTTAGCTATTTTTATCTACATTTCTATATATACATATACACACATATATCAGAAATAAATATCACTATGCAGTGACTGTGTCCAATCCACAATATATGAATTACACAATGTACATTCACCCATGAACAATGTGTGGGTGAGGAGTGCTAAACATGATTCAGTCAAAAATGCGCATGTGACCTTTAATTCCCCCCAAATTTAACTTCTCAAATTTTTTTATGATTCTTGTTTATTGTTACATTGGCCTAATATTTCCCCCTTCACCCTCCTCCCCAATCCCCATAGTTAATTAACACATATTTTACATATCATATGTATTGTATACTGTGTTCCTACAATAAAGTAAGCCAGAGAAAGAAAATGTTATTTAGAAAATTCCTAAGAAAACAAATACATTTACAGTATGTATTAAAAAAATCTGCATGTAAGTGGACTCTCAATTCAAATCCATGTAGTTCAAGGGTCAACTGTATTTATTTTGATTCGATAAGTACTGTTTAGTAATTATCTATTTTCAGCTTAGTACTGTTAGATTCTGCAACATTAATGTTTTTTCTAAATATTCCTGAATGGGGAACTGATTTGAAAAATCAGAAAAGGAAACTTTTCTATTCTGTTTCAGGCTTTTTGTTACATTTCAAACAGCACTGACATATACATCAAAATGAGGTGACTTAATATCACAAAACATCAGATACTTTCTATAATGAATTAGCAAAACCCCGTATATACCCATTGCAAAGACGTAATGTAATAGTTCTGGTTTTCTACATCCACAAAAGAAAAATTATGCTTGCTAAAATAATGCTTTGAATCAACACAGTTTTCTTAGTTTCATGATCTTTTGAAGCAAAGCAGGTTATATTATTAAAAGAAAGAATTGAAGTAAATAGCAGATTACTACTAAGTCACATAAGTAGAAAATCATAAGATTTAGCTGCCAGCTAAATAAATATTTGGTTACTTTCTAAACTACATCATTCAACAGAAGCACATATACTCTACTCTGAACAGAACATCTACGCTGACATTCCATAAACGTGAGGTCGGGCACACATGCATGGTCATGGTTTTGTTTAGATTACCTTCAAGAAGGTCATCCTCATCTATCCCTTTGACAATCTTTGATTTGTAGTCTCGGAAAAACATGTATTTGAGCAGTCTTCTAAGTTTTTTCTATTAAAAGCAAAATCATTAGATAAGAAACCTTATACATATCCTGTACATATATTCACTTTACTGAGTAAAGACTACAATAACTAAATTTAATAATGTAGTGTCCAGAATGATCGAAGAAAATAGACCAATTTCAGCATAATACTATTTAATAAAAAATGTACATAGCATATGAAACATAAAAACTGAGACACAAGCATTTTTAAAAGCACTTTTCACTTACAAGTATCCAGATGCTGCATAATCACAATAATTACCTTTCTATTTGTGCCTTATAAAAAGTTTTAAATTCTTCCTGAAGTGTGACATCCTAAGCTACTTTATTTTAAAAAATGATTTATAGACAGAGTAGGCTGATAGCTCTGGAGGCGGGACTGGGAGAGGTGGAAAGATCAAGCAAAAAAGAAAAATAGAGAAAGGACTTACGAACATGGACGGCTGGGTGGTGATGTGGAGGGCAGGGGGATGGAGGTGGAAGAGGGTATGGTGGGATAAACAGTCATGGAAAAAATATAGTAAAAATCACGTAAAATTATTTATAAACAATCTTGACAAGGAGTTAATGACAACTGCTTTAAAAAGGATATATTCTCCTTTTAATTCTTTTTTATTCTGAGAATTCCTTTTTTTATTTAGAAAAGCTGGTTTATGGTTTACATTTCTGGAAAATATTCAGTAATATGAGAAACATTTTTATGAAACTCAAAGCTGATTAATGATAGTTGGGTCTTAATGATGGCTTTCCTTAGGTTTATTAGAATACCATAATATTACTTAACTCTAAAAGTAACTGCTAATACTTTGTAATTTGTCATGTGCTTACACTTAAAATGTATTATTACTGGTCCTTGACCTTTAGGTTTAAGATTCCTAGTAATATCTGAAACTTACTGCATTTTGCAGAACTTTTTTTACAAGCATTTTATTTGATGTTTTCAATAGCCCTGAGATAAAGACAACTATTATTATTTCCTTTATATACATAGAAAAACTGAGTTAAAATTAGTCTTACACCTATAGCTTAGCAAGGTCAGAGGTAGAATACAACCTTTGAACCTCAGTTTCTTTATTTACAAAGTAAGTAAAGCACCTACCTTATAGGACTATTATGAGGAATTAATAAGCTGCCTAGTGTAACATGTAAAACATAGTGGGCGGTCAACAAATACTGCTCTAATATAAATTGAAATTATTAAGAGAAAAAACATGTTTTTTGCTAGCCTTTTCTGTGTGCTAAATTCATTAAGTACTTTAGATCTTATTTTGTCTTATACTACAGCTGGGTAAACTACTTTAAATTATTTGGTACATATTATTGTAAAAATAAAATTATTACTTTGAGTAGAAAGGCGAGAACAATGGCAATTATCATATTACAGCTAGGATCTCAGGTGCTAGAAAGATTCTGGTTCGGAGTCCTCCTGGACAGTGAAGGGCACTGTCAATTACTCTGTGCTCCTGAAGTTTCAATATGACTTTAAACTTTACCTTCCCCCAAGGGCAGGAAAACGTGTCGATGTGGGACATTTTTTTTTTTTTTGTGCTAGCCTCTTTATCTCTGTCAGAGAAAAAGAAAAATTGACAGGCATGTTCTGCTTACTCCATTGTAGTCCAGATGACTTCATAAAGAATCTTGGCTCGAGACCCTCATTTCTGCCAACAGCACTTTTTCAGCTCCTTCCTCACAACACCGCTGCTATGCAGTACCTGTTTCTCCTTAGTCCTCCAAGTTTAACGAAGTCACCAAATCCTTCATGTTTTACTCTTCACTATCTCTCTGAAGTCTTCCTTCTGATCCACTTCCAGAGCCATCACAGGAATCCTAATTTGTCTTGATCACTCAATCAGCCTCCCCGGTTAGTTCTTCTCCATTTGGTCCATTCTCTATGTAACTGCACGAGTCTTACCTCAGGGAGAAATCTCCACTTCAAAAAATCCTACAGCTTCTACAGCTAACCACATAATCTTAAAATTCTGTGAGCCTTAAAATGCTTCTTTCAACTAAATCATATAGGTTTTCTGAACTACAGCTAGCTTCTTAAAGTGAAGACATTTTTTCTTTTCCTTTATAGTTCTTACACTTTCTAAGAGTTAATAAGACAAAAGGTTATCCAAAAAGTCAGATGGGAAGCCTCTGGATGGAAAACAGAGCCACAGGCACACAAAAATGGTGGAGAGGGGTGGGTAAGTGTAATTAAAAAGCCAGGAAAACCCAATGGAGAAATGGAAGCTGGAACATTAGCATCTATGTATTGCTTGCTCACTTGTGATAGTATCTGTCATAACACACTATGATTTTTCAGTTAATTTTTTAAAAGACTTCATTTATGTATTTTTAGAGAGAGGGGAAGGAAGAGAAAAAGAGAGGGAGAGAAACATCAATGTGTGGTCGCCCTTCATGTGTCTCCTTCTGGGGACCTGACCAGCAACCCAGGCATGTGCCCTGGATGGGAATCCAACCAGCGACCTTTGTTTCAGTTAGTTTTTTTACATATAACTTTTAGATAAAAACTTACTAAAACATGTAATATTTATAAAATATTTTCAACTAGCTACTCATGGAAGAGAGGACAAAAATATGTCTAATTTTTGTTACTAAGCTGTTAGTAACAGCTTAGATATTTTAATATCAATGTTCAAAGAATAAGAATAAAAAAGGTATAAACCCCCCCAGACATTATGGTATATACTTATGCTACTGGAATATACACCTTGATTTTCTATTTCCTATAAACTAGGGTCAGAATAAAATTTATATTCCAAGTTAAGAATTACTCTCTGAAAGCCTGTCATACTGTATGAAATTAGATAAAAATAAATATGTCACTCAGTTATACTCTCTTATCAGAACAGTGAATATTTAATGAATATTATGTAGCAATGAACATGCCTGAATAGCTATGTTTGGATAAGTAAGAATTAGTTACCTACATAGTTTTACATATGTGCCCTTGCCTGTGTTAAAATCACTTTTCTTAAATCATTTGGTCATGTAAACTATGAAGATTCAATAGTTCAATAGTTATTCAATATCAGTTCAATAGTTATGGTTCCAATTTGAAAACTATATAAGGATATTTAGTTTTCCTACATACATGTACTTATGCACCAAACATGGCATTTTAATTCAGTAAACAATTTTTATATTACCTTATCTTTGCGCATCAAAAACAGAAGGTCTTCAGCAGATATTACTCTTGCTCCCCGAAGCTGAGAAACTTCAGCAGCTTGCTGTAACTAACAACAAAAAAATTAGGAATTTTTTTTGACAATCTAAATTTGACAGTCATGATGTGAAGAAAGAAACATACTAAGAGTTAATAATTTGGGGGAACAATCCAGCAATCACATTACTCTTCTTAAAAGTAAAATGTTTTATGTTTTAAGGTATAAAAAATGCAATTAAATTAACTTATAAGCCTACCTGTAACTGATACAATAAACAGAAATCCTTGATTTCTTTCATGCAAAAGAAAAATCACGTGCAGCTTCCAGAAATGTATTAATGCACCTGAAAATAATTTTATGAAATTGTACCCTCAATATCCTTGTGAGCAATGGTTTCACTCAGTATCACTAGTTGAATAAGTATATTATTAATCTGAGCTCCCATGCTGGTATGATTTGAAATAGGCCCATTCAGACCTTTAAAAGATCAACAAAAACAGTAGCTGTTTCTAATATCCAAAGGAAAAAAAATAGTTTTAGTTTTGGCAAGTCTTCAGTGGGCAAAGGATTCAGTCCATAAATCATAATGCGGGACTGCATTAATTTCTCTCCACACTAATCACATGCACACAAAAAGTTAACTGTGTCTGGAATGCACAACACAAAACACACTGCATGGCAAGTTAGATTCCCCCTGAAATGTTCATCTGGGCCCTTATATCTACAAAGTCGAGAGTTTTCTGGAATTTAGAAGTCCTAGAAACACAATCTTACTTGAAAATGACCTGGAAAATAAAAGAATGTGAAAAATGATAGTTCTATTTTTTGGCACAGGCAAAACCAGTTTCTTATTTTGATTAGTTGGAAGGAACACAAAATACATCCAGCTGAAAAAAATAAAGATGCTGGAGAAAACACTACAAAAAAGTGCCTGTAACTTCTTTCAAACTTGATCAAACCATGGTGATTGCACCAAACCATTTTTACCCAATATTATAAAAATATTTACATATAAAAGCTGTTCTGAATGTATCATTCTTTGAAAGGAATAAATCTAACACATATTACTGAGAACTAATCTTTAAAAAGTGACACACTGTTATCTTAACAATTACAAGAAATCAAATATTGCATTTGTACTAAAGAAATTCTGCTTGAATGTTTAAGCGATTTTGCTAAGTAAGCTTCAAACCTTGTCTAAATACACAGACTACAAAATAGACTATAAACTCCCTATGTGTCAGCCTTACCACTGAATTTCCTGGATACTGGTGGTTGGTATATAAACATAATTCTACCTAAATATAGAAATTTAAATTTAACTGTGAACCATTCAAAAAGAAATCTTGGGGGAAACGTTTTTCAAAAAGATGATGTATCTACCCAGAAAGAAACTAAAAGTTTTCAGCAGGAAAAATTTAAACATATTTTTCTAAAAACTGGAAGAGTACCAGGGAAATATGTATACACAGTTTTTTCCCCCAAATAAAACATTTCTATCACAGTCTAAAACACTGAGCTGGTCCAAAAAAAATTTTTTTTCTGTAAGATGGCTCTAGTGTCACTTAGTTGTCTTTAACTTTATTCAAAACAATTCTGTTATTGTATTGTGACAGCTGTCATGTCAGTGTGCATTTAAAAAAACTTATCAAAATTTGTGAATTTTTATGTAGCCATTTAAAAATTGAAGATGGGAAAAATAAGCAACATTTTGACATACTATACCTTATTTCAAGAAAGGTAAAAATGCAACTGAAACACGAAAGATGATTTGTACAGTATATGGAGAAGGTGCTGTGACTGATCAAACATGTCAAAAGTGGTTTGTGAAGTTTTGTGCTGGAAATTTCTCACTGGACAATGCTCCACAGTTGGGTAGTCCAGTTGAAGTTGATAGTAATGAAATAGAGACATTAACTGAGAACAATCAACATTATACCACACATGTAGGAGATAGCTGACATACTCAAAATATCTAAATCAATTAAGTTATTGCTGAAAATGAATAATGTGTCTTTTATTTTATAGAAAAAGGGACAGCATTCTCCCAGACAGAAAGGCAGGCAGAGGCTACTTCTCCTTTTCTGAACCCTCCCCCCACAGAACCACAGAGCTGGTAGGAGGGGGTCATATTTGAGACTCTATCAACCTAGTTCATGTGGTTTGCCCCACCTAACATACAGCCCACCAAAGCTGTTAAGAGTGGCTTTTCCATATGAATGGCTGGCCTCAGCCAAGGCTTCACATCTTCCTTAATCCTCTCAAGCAAGCAAACAACCAGCCTCAGAAATTCCCTCACCCCTGTACCTCTGGCTAAGCAGCCCCAGGCCCAGCAGTACCAGCAGCCAGCTTTGGATGACAGTTTGGTTTTGTCTGGGAACTTCCAAGTGCTGCAAAGTAGCAGTCATCTGCAGACTGCTTTGGGCTCACACTGGGTGGCCCCAGGTGAACACAGGTGGTGGCTGACCCTTGCCTGCACCAGCTAGAAAACTTCAGAGCCTGTGCACCCAGTGGACAGCTACAGACCACACCGGAACACTACTATCCTGCCCCTGCACAACTGATCCTCCATGGAGGGCGGAAGTTGATAGTCAGTGGTCACAACCAGTCTTTGCAGCTGATGGGCCTATGTAAATCCCTCTCATTGATCTGCCAGCAGCAATCAAAGCTTGACTACAAGAGGAGAGTACACTCAGCCCACGTGAAGGGTGCACCTCAAGTAGCCAGCTTGGGTGGTAGGGAGGCAGTGCCACTGGACCCTCTAGGACTCCTACTATATTAGGCCACGCTACCGAGACAGGGAGTCATAACAGTTCTACCTAATATTTAACAGAAACAAACACAGGAAGGCTGCCAAAATGAGGAGACAAAGAATATGGCCCAAGTGAAAGAACAGATTAATTAAATTAATCTGTTAATTAATTAATTAAAACTCCACGAAAAGAGCTAAACAAAATGGAGATAAGCAATCTATCAGATGCAGAGTTCAAAATACTGGACATAAGGATGCTTGAAGAATTTAGCACCTACCTCAACAGCATAAAAAAGATCCAGTCAGAAACAAAGGATACACTAGTTAAAATGGAGAATAAGTCCAGGAAGCACAGAGTCCCAAACAAGAAGGATGCAAGGAGGCCCAATTCAAAACACATTATGATTAAAATAAAAAAGGTTAAAGCTAAAGAGAGACTCTGAAAAGCAGCAAGAAAAAAATCTGTTAGTTACCTATAGGGGAGTTTCCATAAGACTGTTAGCTGATTTCTCAAAAAAAAAATCTGAAGGCAAGAAGAGACTGGCAGGAAACATTCAACGTCATGAAAAGCAGAGACCTGCAGCCAAGGTTGTTCTACCGAGCAAAACTATCATATAGAATCAAAGGGTGGATAAAGAGCTTCCCAGACAAAAAAACTAAAGGAGTTCGTATCACCACCAAACCATTGTACAAAATGTTAAAGAAACTTATTTAAGAAAAGAAGACCAAAACTATGAACAATAAAATGGCAATAAACATATCAATCAACAATATAATTAAAAAAACAAACTAAGCAAACAAGAACAGAGATAGAATCATGGGTATGGACAGTGTTCCGATGACTGCCAGATGGGAGGGATGTTTGGGAGAATGGGTGAAGAGGGGAGGGGATTGAGAAGTACAAATAGGTAGCTACAGAATAGCCATGGGGATGTCAAGTACAGTCCAGGAAATGGAATAGCCACAGAACTTATGTGCATGACCCATGGACATAAACAAAGGGGTGGTGACTGATTGAAGGAATGGGCAGTGCTGGGCTGGGGATGCATAAAGAGAAAAAATTGGAACTATAACAGCATAATAAATAAAACAATAAAAAAATAAAATATGTAACTTCAAAATAATTTTCTAAAAGAAAAATTATCTATAATTATCTTCATATAATATTTATTTCCTAACCTAAGCAGAAAAACTATGTGCTCCACTTATAATATCTTAATTGTACTATCAAGAAATTTTTTTCTTTACCTTCTTCAACCAGTAACCTAACATTCTCACCCCCCAACTTCCTTTTGAATAATATCTGAAGGTGCAAGACTACCACTCCCAACAGGTAGTTTATAAACCTTAAATGTTGATATTGTATTTCCTCTCGATGATTTTCAGTTTTACCATCTATAACAAAAATAAATTGGGCTAAATGAAGTCAATAACGCATGCATTTGGCCTTGTCCCACATAAATTCAGCAGAAAAGATTTCTCTAAAGTTCCAAAGGTTTTAAAAGTATGACAAGGTTAATTTGATGAGTTCAAAATCATTAACATCTTGAAAGTACTCCCTTTAAAACCCTCATGCTGTACTTCTTTCCTTTGGTTCATGGCTAACTTTTTGGATCTTTCATTTTGGATAAAAATATTAAATAAATACATCCATACATCCACACAAAGAGGCAGGAGTTGTTGAAAGCTATGTGATGAAGAGGCAAAATCTAGGGGAGGTAGTCACCCTGTTTACAAGGTCAGATTCCTATGTTTCTTTTCCATTTCAAATGGATAACTATGTTTTTATTGACTGGTATAAAAATTAATCATCTTAATAGTAATGGCTACCATTTATTGAGACCTACTTTGTGCCAGGCACTTTGCTATTATGTTATAAATACTTAATTTTAATTTAAAATTTTTTGGTTTAAAACAATGTAACACTGAAGTCAAGTAATACTCTCAATTTTATAATGCTTGAAAGTCATACCTGCCACACTATTTTCCAATCGACAATTCTGCTTCCAGAGGCAACTACTTTCAATCTTTTTCTTCTTCTTCTGTTCTTTACATCCATACTTGGAATATGCTTATAATACTTGTTTTATTTATATTTCAGCTTTTAATACTATCAATAGACTTCTTACTATAGAAGATGAAAATTTAGTATTCTCATATACCTATCTCATATTTAACCATCTTCTTTCTCCCCTTTTGATCTTATTTATAAATTTTAATTGTTAAATCAATATCCAGTTTGCATTATTACGACTGGTAAGTACCCTTACAGCTTGGTCACTATAATAAAATTTCTTTTTACAAATAAAAAGTTAGG